GTTGAAGTAGGTACTTTTATGTTTATTTGTATGTATTGTGTATTATGATGAACACTAACACTTTTCTTCGTAGTCGGTTATAAATTTGACTAATACGTTTCAAGTCCAACATCGTCTTGTCAACACACACACAACACCAAGTCTTGGACAAAGTCAATATTACAGGATATTTAAGGCTCCACACAAAATTGAAGTCAGACGCGGGATTTTAATTTAATTTTAAATGGTCGGTGTCTAATTTTTTAATAACATAACATTACGCCTTTTATCTCCGAAGGGGTAGGCAGAGGTGCACATTACGGCACTTAATGCCACTATACAAATTAACACACACTTTTCACTATTTATGTTATACGTTCCATTTAATACGGGGTGAGCCTATTGCCATGTACCGGAAACAATTCCAGACTCTGTTCTACTAGAATACTGAGAATTCTTTTTTTAAACCCATAAAGCTTTGTCCGACCCGATAATCGAACCCGATACCCCTTGCTCGGCAATCTCACTTGCGACCATTCGGCGAACGAGGCAGGCAGATTTTTTTTATAATCTTTATATATAATCAATAGTCACCTTATTATAAATCATATACCTTTGTAATTTTTATTATCTACTAATGAATTAATTCGCATCGTTATACACAAACACATTTATTAGTAGATATAATGAAATCTCTCATTGTCTCATGGAATCGACCCTGGGACTACTGGTTATCTAGTAAACACTTGTTGTGCTATTGTCCTTTCAATACGTCACTGCTTTTGTATGACTCAGGAATCGAAAAGATAATAAATATTGTAGGCTGGCTCTTAACGTAATGGAAGAACTTTGAAGTTAGACATATTTTTTTATTTTCCGCTCTCTCGATGATAATTACTAGGTATCGGGATATTTAATAGTTTTATTTTAATTTTACCCCTCATTAGGGTTTTTTATAAACATACATTAATGTTATATAATACTTAAATTCGAAAGAACGATCCGAAAAATGGTTCGGGAATTGAATTCACGACACGTCGCCTCGAAGCCAAATGTGCAGTCAATGTAATTTTAAATATTTTATTAACAATTGTATATTTAAATTTAATATAATCTTTTAGTTTATACACAAATCTCCTCCCTAAATTACTTAATCTCCCTTTACTGCTGTTTTTAAAACGCTGTTTTTAAAGATAAATAGTTACACATTTTTTTTAAACTTCATAGTATTAAAATTTTGCAATTTTTCGTGATTTGGTGGCGCCTGCGCATAATGTGGTGTCATTAATTAGACGCACCTCGACGCCCCGGGGCGTCACATTAAATGCAACGGATGAACGGTATTTATCGCCCAATTTTAGGGTACCGTGGCCCGAACAAAACGACCAAAGCTATTTAAAATTTCTATAAATAGGTGACTTAAATATTTCTAAGAACTTAATTCCAAATGTTATCTTCATGCCTGTATTGGACTTGAAAGATAGAAAGAGATAAACAGTAGATACCTAGACATATTTTTCGCCAAAGCAACTTGGAGGATATAACCTAATATTACAAAATATACCCATTTACCCATCTACCTCTATTATAATTGGAATGAAACCTTGAACTATCGAAACCAATTAAGCTTTTAACATATTTAAAGCTAAGTATACACAGTTTGTAACTTTACGTTTTCCAACTAGATCCTTCAATATTGGCCGTAATAATATTAAATGTATTTTCTAACTTCAACCCTTCAATACGACGTAACCTAAACCTAAACCAGCAGAAAACTGGAACGATTGTAAACAAATATAAATGTATTAATATGTCTTTTGTATGCTATTTATTATTTTTATACATACTGAACCAATTAGTTTTTAGTGCACCTGACACCGCAACACGTGTAGCGTAACATGGGTGCGCGGGCGCCAGTTTTTGCGCGCCACGGTCGATTGGCTACGATCGACTACGTTCGGTTACCTCCGCCCTAATGTCAATAGGGGTGTCAAAAACAAGCTATCTGAATTTAACGCTAACGAATTAGGGGAATTCTGTCAATGTGACACTGTCACGGAATGTGTTGTATTTCAAAATATGACAGGTTCCTGATTAATCAACTGTTTAATTAGCTGGATATTGATCTGTTATTGTTACTTTTTTTCTAATTATAATTGATCGGCCTGCCCTTCTTAATGTAGTGGTTGGTTTAAAATATTTATACTTTCTTGTGTAACAATATGGTGAAACTGTAACCAGATATTTCAACTTATATATACTCTACAATCTTTTGCGATAATTTCAAAACTATTAAAACATACAGACCTATGCATTACTCTTGTTATAAAAAATCTGACAAAATATGTTATAAAACAATTACACACAATTATTCCTCAATAAACCTCCTTTTATAAGACTGAAAAGTTCCCTCAATACACGTCCTCTCCCTCTGTCAGCTGTTAATTATAAAATGTGTATAGTATAACAAACGCCATTAGTTTTCCTGTCAATTATTAGGCGCGTGATACATTAGGTGTCCGAGCGCGATCCCTGCACACTCGGGCAAAAAATATAACCTGTCAAAATATTGTTTTGATTTGTGCTACCGTGTTATACTTAAATGTGTTTTTTTTGTCTTTAGTGATATTATAATGAGAACTGCATAGGTTGATGTATAGTTGTTACTTAATATGCTTCAAATTATTGAATTCGGTATTCAACGACATACCTAATCAGAGATTTTTTCGTAAGTAATTGAGGAGCGAGCCAAGGAACAAATCCAGACATAATTTCAAAATAATGTCGAATACAAACTGGTCTATCAAGGCAGTCAACACAGCTTACTATGTGTATATAACCAGCGACCTATTTCGTGAAACATTTGGCCATGAAATACCTATCCGCTTAAATCGATACGATTACCTAATAACTGCTTCCACATATTTATAATAATTATATTTTCTTTCTTACAGGTAAGTCCGCGTCCCAGTGAGGAATGCCCAGCGGTGAGCTAATTAAAATAACTCATACACGGTGTAACTCACAGTTATAGAGCTAAAATTTAGTACCATATATGAGAACCCTGAAATATTACAGTTTTTCACGCACCCTGAATGACTAAGGAAATAGCTAGCTTATCGGGAAATGGGGCTGAGTATATGAAGGTCATATTTTAGTGCCGGTCGCGGCTTTTTCCTTAAAAAATGGCAATTAACTTACATAATTATATTACAGTTATTTTCACAAATAGTTTTCTAATACGCGGTTGGTAATCGCAGATATTTCAGTAGGAGAAGTCGATGCCGTCGTAAAAATATCATGGCGTCCGAGTGTTATTTATAGACGCGCAACTTTATCAAAATCAATCGCGAACTTTATTCTGAACCGACTTCATTAACTAATTTACGTCCATTAGACTTCCCTTATAAATAAACTTATTCAAAGTTCAAGTAATCTTGGATTCGACGCTGGGTTTTGAAAATCCTTTAGAAAATTAAGATATTTATAGCAGCTAGATTAATATGAAACATACAGGTTATACAGTGTCTGGTCCTTTATTTCTAAATTAGGACCAATCCGACCCGCTCTGACCTTTTCATAAATTCCGTAATATAATAATTTTGCGTCATTATCCGAATTTTGCGTAATGACGCGAGTTTACGGGCGACGCGTAAACGAAAGTAATATTATCCGATGTGTTTGTGTCTCATTGCACTTGGTTACGTATCAACCATGTAGGTCAGGGCTGCGCGCGCGCCGCGGAAAGCAAACTAACAACACTAGTCTTTTCATAGCTCTTTTTTGCGTTTTCACCTTGATGCACTTAGTGTTGTTATTGTGATTAGGTTTCAGAATGTTTTGATTCAATTGAAAAAATATGTGATTGCAATTGCCTGGTTTAATATTTTTTATTTGCTTAAGCTTTTGATTGTAATTTAGATTGAAAAGAAAATAAAAATAAATATCTAATCCAATCACCAATCTAACGAACTCTAGTAATAAAATAAAAACAAAAAAAGACTCGGAAATCTAGAAATATAAAACGAGTATTTAAGGCTATCAGTGAGCTGCCTACACTTATTTATTACTCCTAGCTGGATAATAAAGTATATAGCTCAATATTATATATACGAGACAATTTCAATCTAACCGGATCGCTAAACTAGAACATGTAAATGTGAAACATATGACTATTTATCATATAGATAATTTTATCGGCCTAATCGTGTCGGTAAATGCACACAAACCACAAATCTCTTACATAACGCACCTACGCATGTGTGAGTGACACACACACACGAGTGTCATGCGCGTACGCAGCCTGCATCCTGTCCCACTTAGTGAGGTGAACCGGTCGATCTATGGATCTTGTCTATGGTGAAAAACAAGTATGGTGGAATTAGTTATATACTAATTAGGTTTCAAGTGATATAACTAACATTTTTTCATTCTAAATACGACTGTTTTTGATGGCGGTACAATGTGGCTGAGTAGATTTTAATGTTAATTTTTGAGCTGCATTTGGTATATGAGCCCTTGAACGTTTATTGCAAGTATATTAGGCACACTACTGCCTTGAAAAGGGACCGTATATGTAACACAGAAAGTGTCACAATTTCCAAAATAACGTAATTATGTGTCGGTGACGTACTTAGTTGACAGACGTCAGACTTTTACATAAATACCCGCACATTGGCTAATTCCCATTCTTCTTAGTTTCATAAACTTTGGTTTCCTATTTATTAAGGTTTTTATGAGTCTCGTGAGATAACGTAAATAGCTTTTTGATTAAATTTTGAGAAGAAAACATAGAAGTGGTGGAATCATAATGGTTGTTCTGGAAGTTGGTCGTGAAATCTTTCTGAAAGTAAACTTAGGGATATTTTAGATACAATAAAATCGAAATAATTATTTATTACTTTTCGTTTTTCGACACATCTTTCGTTATTCGATTTTACGTCAAAGGAGATGATTATTATAAGGCTTCTCCTCAAATTACCAGTTTTAGACACTTCCAAAACATTCTCCCGTATTAATAGCACTAGCTACAGCTCTTCAACAACCTTCAAACACGTCTACAGACTATACAACAGTCGCAATGATACCAGTTCAGTCACTCAACGTATCTAGGCACAAGAATTCACCGTGCAGTCTAAATATGCCACATATGGGCGCAGAAGGCCGCTCACTGACATGGCTGCATGGCCTGCACCGATGCTGGTAGAAGCACACCTCATTAACATTGAATTTATTTTGCTAAACTAGTATCTGTACTAGCAGTTTGTTTTGGAAGATGAGTTCGTATTAAAAGGCTAAATGGGTTAAACTAGCTTTGGAAATGAGAATAAATCTAACGAAACCAGATGCACTATGTCAGTTATACGGACGGTTCTTTATTTTAGTTTGACTTTGATCTTAGTTAATCTCAAATTAACAACATGCGCACTTCATATAGTCTAAATAAAATACATGGATTAATACGTATCGTTTTTTTTCGCTACAAAACAATCTTGTTATTTGGTCCTTAGAGATTTAAAAAAGGGGTCCTTTCTCCCATCTTTTGAAACCTCTATAGTTTATCAATAGATTCTCGAAAATCGACTGATACATAAGTTATTTATTGCAAATAGAATGCACATACAGTAGTATATGGGCACCAGTAACACATAATGTGGTGAAGTAGTGGCGAGCGTATCAAGGTCTGTGTCGGGTTGCGCAACCAGACAACTCTCGAATGTTGCACAAACACACGCTAACTGACTCCAATGTGATCTTCCGATCCGAAGGTGGCCCCTTTCCATTTCACATGGTAACTGAACAAAATAGGAGATCCACTATCTTGTTTTGTTTAGCTGCTATATTTAGAATGATTACCTAGAGTGCAGAACGATGTTAGTAGTGGAAATATCTAGAATTTTCTCCAGTTTCTTTAATTATTTTAAAAATAGGACATGTTTTGTAGTCTGCTTGGTAAAATATAGATTTTAAGGTATTGTAAATCAATGACCATCCCAGAAAAAGTTGTTAAATTCGGAACGTTATTTTTAGCGCGCTTAGAATGTTTGTTTATACTGTACGACTGGTGCGCAGTTCAGAAGGACAGTAGGAACATCACGTAGCTGCTCCCAAACCCGCTGGGACCTCGCAGCTAATGATCAAAACACATTCAAAACAAGGATTAGACTTGTTTGTCAGTTGGCGTGGATAGGAAATATAGATAATGGTGAGGAAGGAAACTGCGGTGCGCAGCCGGCGTGCAATGCTACAGCAGTAAGGCCAGGAGATCAGCGACCGTGCGAGGTCGTGTCATGTAAATGCGGCTCTCAAGGCGCCCGCCCTAGTTACGCTCAAAACAACACCGCTTTACAATCACCTTCAACCTTATCACGACACACTAAGGTCTAACTTCTATTCATTCAGCTGCATAAACAACTTTGTACAACAAACACGTAATTGCAATTGACGTAACACTTAATGACCTATCAATAGAGGTTGTTTTTGCGTGATATGATGGCAGGTTTAAGGTTGCGTAGTTAAGAGCGATCGGACGGAGACGGTGACACGAACACGATCCTTTTTAGTAAAATCATTTGCAGAAAAAATGATTGGCAAAAGTTAAATGCAGCTCATTAGTGATTAATGGCATCGATTAAATTGTTGACGTTTTATGGTGCAGTGGTGTATGGGGTCTGATTGAGGTGTTCCAGGTTTGACACCTGTCTGGTTACTGTTTTCCTTGGTTTCAGCGAAACATTTTCGTGATACCAACTTCGGTAGCCCTAAATAATTTCAAATTGAATTATAGATACTTTTTAAAGTTAGTAATTTTTATAAAATTGAATTCTTACTTAATTTTTGGTCCTTAGGAACGAAATAGAAATAATAAAACAGAAATGAATTACTATTACTATTTTAAAAACATTAAATGTTTGTTCCTCGTGTCTGCAAGACAGTCTCCATTTAACCCCGAAGCCGAAGTGCTTAGCTAACTGAATCAATGAGTGACCTTAACAAGTCCATGTTTAAATAGAAATTAACATAAATATGAATGGTCCGCCATACTGTATTGGCGGTCACACCAAAAGCTGCGTGTATTTGGCACCTTACCCGCGGCGGATCTATAGGTGCGCGTGCGCAGAATACCAAGTGACGCTAAAGTTTGTTACTACGTGGGAAAAGAAAACGATAGAAAAGGGTTTCTTTACAACGACATTAACTAAAGAATTTGTGATATTATTTTTAAACACACGACGCATCCGGACTCCATAAGCCTTCTTTTTGAGAAGGAAAATCATTAAATGCCTCCTTTTGCCCGTATTATCATATGTAGTCCGCCTTGCCTTAGAAAAACAGTATGTTTTCTACTGGGAATTACAAAATTAAATAACATACTATTCAACTGTTCTATCAACAGAGGTACAAGTGTTATTAAAATTCATTTCTAGTTCAGTAACACCTACCTAATAACATCGAATCTATCAGTAATTTTCGACGGTCTATCGACTCGATAGATTTCCTCAAACTGGATGGTACCTGAGTCCCAATTAGTATTCTAGTACGTCTAGATTCGCTGGTATGGCGCAACATGTCCGATTTCGAGGTTGTCCGTTTGATACTCGCTTCGGAACTGTGCTAGATTTTTCTATAGATACTGATGTACTAAATGGAGATAATGTGGTTTCTGAAGTTGTTATTGAAATTTGAAAAAAGACTAAACTGGAATTGTGAGTTGAATTTGCTAAACACAGATTTAGATTTAGATTAGGGTGGAGGTTCCCAAATCAACTGTATGTTTTTTAAAGAAAAATATTCTTTATCTGTGATTAAACGTTTAAAAAACATACAGACGAATTGAAAACCTCCTTTTTAAGAAGTCGTTATAAATTTTAAACTGTCAAACACCGAGCGGTTACTGGTGACCGCAACCTATTGTTCTTTAATTGTGTCTATAAATACGGTACTCAACGAGTTAATAAAAAACATAAAATAAAAATTAGATACAAGAAGATACACATTAACAAACGCTCTCATTAGGTATCAATTTGATAGGTAGACAAAATCTATCCTGACGCAATCAAGACCACAACAAATGTCTAGGAAAAGTCCTGTATCTGACCATTTATACAAAATGTCCAACCTACTTGAAGACACGCAAACTGTCACTTATACATTCCTACATATAATATATGTCCTTATTTAGGAATAGGGTGCAAAGAATTCTAAGATAAATTAGGTGATAATGTCTAGCGCGGAGGGACAGATTAAATCCAGACTCCAGTAATGATGATGTCTGTCTGAGAAGTTTTTGTCTACTCATACTTGGAAAGGTTACAAACTAACTAACTAACGCATTTACTTTATCTAATAGAAAGGAAAGAGAGAAGGAAAAAACATTTATTGAGCACCAGGCACGATGCAGCATAAATAAAATATGAAAAGACAATATAGGAAAAAAAATTAAAACAGAAGAATTAGACGAGATACGCTGACAACATGCCTATGCTAAAAAGGCCCCACTCAGTATAAGCCAGGCATACAAGTCACCCAGCACTGCTTTTCAGTGGGCACCCATGCAGTGACGCACGGATGGTAGCAACGAGTTAATACTATGTATATAGTTTCTGTCAGCGGTTTCATCCATGTTTCCATGAAATAAAGAGTAATGTGTTATTTTCAAATTTCATTCTGCTCCCTTCAGCCGTTATGAACTGATGGCGTAACAAACATACACACAAACTCACGCACAAAGTTTAAGAAGTAAGATGAGACTAGCTACTCCCTTGCGTCACCGTTGTTCGGCTCCTATTATCGTAGCGTGATGTTTAATAGCCTATTTAGCCTTTGTATTATAACTTTCGTGAGACATACTAAATAAATTATTATATTTTCAGCTTACTCACGTAATTATCGCCTCTAGCATGGCTTGAAACTAGTCGAGTTCCTCGTCAAATAATTACGTGAGTAAGCCGAAAACATAATAATGTATATAGCCTTTCTCCATAAATGAACTGTCCAACACAAAAACTAACCAACGAAACAATGTAACCAAGAATATTGTATTGTGAATCTGATTGAAAAACAGTAACCTATGGAGTTTCTTGCTCGTTCTTCGCCATAGGAGTCTACGCCTTGGAATGAGCAAATAGCTTCAATAGAGAACTGACCGACAAACTGACATTTTATTTTTAATATTTCAATATTTTGTTTTGACGTTCAAAAGTGCCTTCCTGGTCTAATTGAAATAAACGATTTCGACTTTGAATTTTACAAAAGTATTACTCAATTCGAGCCAGAAGTCTCAAAGATTTGGTGCTTTGATCGTTCCTACTATTAACAAACAAACTTCGCTTTTATAATATTAGTCAGAAAAGTTCGAATAACTCAAGGATAGTCGATAGTTAATATGTTTGAAGACCTAAATAAATTAAAATTAAGTTTATTTACGAAACCAGATTTAACTGGAACGGCCGATGTTTTTATTGGGAAAATACGTATACTGATACTGATACATGGAAAATGATTTCGTATGGTAAATCCATTGTGATTACTTCACTGATGGTTTTCGTGAATTTGGCTAAGATTTAAATTGAATTTCCTTATCCAACATTCACCTTAATGTGACTCATATTGATATTACAGTTACATATCTTTTTTTGGTGAAATATAAAACAAAATATTTTGAAAACTTATTAGAATCAGACAAGAACATCTTCTATCCCGCTTACCTACTAAAATCACCATTGTGTGATAAGACCGCCAATTGTACGCATATTTACCTGAATTGTTGGTTTTTTGAGCTTTTCTGCTCTTCATTAATTAATTCCATTAAGTCAATGGCTACATATCAATAGAATCAACTCTAGTATCACTTCGAGCGATAGATATTCTTATTAATCGTTAGTTAAATAAATTCTATAGGAAATAGAAATAGATTACCAAATAAGACCGGTGACTTAAATATAAAACCCAATCAAAAAGGGATTTAATTAGTCAGTGTGTAAAGGTCAAATTAAGTTGAAACTCTGAAAGCTGAAATTTAATAAATCAAAAATAGTTGGAGAGTTTCCCATTTGGTTCTGTTGTAAAAATTAACGAATTTTCTTTTGTTTTATGGTACGTTTGTCCGGGTGTAGTGCAGTAGCCAAATGATTGGTTACTGTGCTACACTAGAAGAAGGCGATCCGATATCTGTGCATAACAAGAAAAAAGAAATACGAAAATGTG